ATCTATCTATCTATCTATCTATCTATCTATCTATCTATCTATCTATCTATCTATCTATCTATCTATCTTTGTATACTTTCGCTATTAGTTGCGAGTATGTAAGTCGCGTCAACTTGAACTTGCTAGTAAAACCAAACGACTGGAGAACAACAAGAACCAACAATGAATAAACGGAAAAAAATGTTGTTTCATAAGATGAGTCCCTCTCTTTCTATCTATCTATCTGTCCATCCATCCATCCATCTATCAACCTACCTACATATTTATCTATCCATCTATCTATATCTGTATACTTTCGCTATTAGTTGCGAGTATGTAAGTCGTGTAAGGTAAAGCCGACTAGTCTTTTTGACTTGGTGACAACTTGGGCTTTTGCAAAAAGTGAGGTTTAGTTCCGAAGTTGCCTTTCCTGTAGCTTTTCTGATGAAATCCGACCCCGTTTTTACGTGAACTGAAGAAGGATGCCTCGTGGACTGGATTTGCCAGTAAAATGAACCGAGTGCAGAACACTGGGAACCGGCTATCGTCTTTGTGGGACACTTTTACACAAAGTGAACCTCTTCAAAGCCACGTTTCCTCGGGAGATTCATCGAAACCCACTTTTTCTCTTCGGACAGACAAGTTTCGAATCTCTTCCACCGGCCGGTGGAACCAGCCTTGTCAGGATCCGCGAGCCCACAACCTCTCCGCGAATGGTGCCTTAGCTCGAACCGGTCCGGAGTTGTTTTTTCTGCGCGTTTGTGTGCGTCTGAACGCCTGTTTCCCCGTTTGTGCATGGACGCATTTTGTCCACTCGTCTTCTTCACTCAGCCTCGTCAAGCATTAGCCTCATGCGGTCCTCGTTGCTCACTCTCTTCGAGTGGAGGCGACCACAGACTCACACCACTCGTCACTCTCACATGTCCTCTCGTCCGTCGGTATCCGGGCCGCCCTGGTCGTTGCGTAGCCATAATCCGCTGATAGCAGGTTGGTTGACATTTGCAGACTCGCAACAACATGTCTGTCGGATCGGTCGGTCTTCTGCCTGCCTCGGAGCCCTCAACTGGGTCGGTGGGTGCTCGTGTTGCACACCATTTTGCGTCCGTTCACCTCGGCCTGGATCTGTCGCCTGTCCGACCTACATGCCTTAGCAACCGGCCTGTCTGAAGGCCATGCTGCCAATTAGATAAACTTTAATCTGTAAAAGGGCAATTGACGTTCATTGCCAGACATGATTGTGCAGCGTAGCGGAGGCAAGGAGGAAGCATGCAAATTTGCACCAGCATACACAACCACAAAAAGAAAGGGGAACAGAGACGGACAGATGGTAACAGCGGCAATAACTGGGCCGGAGAAAGAGGCAGATAAGGAGGAGGAAGGAGACGAGGAAAGTTGTATGGCATGGTGAGCTGTTCAACTACACGCAAAAGGAGTGTGTCGCTTTATCGCACAAATGCCCGTCGCCGAATAAAAGGGGCTGACACAAGTCATCAGCTTTTCATCAACTTTGCATCTTCACAGTTTGTACAAGCAGAAACAATGCACTTTTGCTGCATTCCTACCAACCAACAATGCCCACTTGGCTGCCAGAAATAGTTGACAAAAACTAGGTCTGGAGACCTGGATCGAGCTTCCAAAAGTGGATTGCGCTTTCACCAACTTGTGCATCGTCAGTCGAAGGACAATTTCTTCATCCATGAATCCAACACCACATCCATACACTTGCGTCTATCAATCTACCCCTTTGTCCATTCGTTTATCTATCATGTATGTTTTCATCTTTATGTTCGCCTAGTTATCTGTTTCTCGACTAGTCACCAGGCCGTCAGATATTCGGAAGTTTACACGTCTGGAAGATGGGTATTTTTCGAGATTATCAGTAATGCTTGAATAAAAACTTAGTCATCTAATTGAATATATGAAGACCAAGATGTTGTGGCCTCTGGTGTGGTCGCAGTCTCCTTTCAATTGATAGAA